AGCTTCCGGCTCGTATGATGTCATTGGTATCACCGAGACATGGTTGCACACGGAAATGACGGACGCTACCGGGCACGTCGCTGATCCGGAACGACAGGCCCACAAAAGGAGGAGGGGTAATGCTGTACTACCGAAACGACTTACAGTGCGAAGCCGTGGAGGATTCAGACTCGCAGTTCCCCGACTCTCTTTGGTGCCGGTTGCAGTTAAAAGGCAGGGACGCTTGCCTTATTGTCTTGGTGTACCGCGCTCCTAACCCAACACCAGAAACCGACTACCACCTAGCGGCTGCTTTAAGGTGCAGTTTACAACAAAAGTACACTCACATTCTTATCATGAGTGATTTCAACGTACATTGTTTAGAAGCCTCTGCCACGATCGGAGAACAATTCAAAACCGATTTACAAGATCTAGTAACTACTGTTCCTCTTTACAACCACATCACTTTGCCCACTCGGTTCAGAACTGGTAACAGGCCATCTGTGCTAGATCTTGTGCTTACCAACGAGGAGCATATGATTGATGCGTTGGATTTAGACTGCCCGTTCGGTCGCAGTGATCACGCAGTCATCAGTTTCAACTTCGTCTGCTACGCAGAATATCTGAGTGATAAGGATGAGACTGTGCGAACCATCACAAGGTACGACCGACTCACCCAGCTCCTTAGCGCCACAACTTGGTTTTTCCTCGAAGAAGAACCCCCAGTAGTCACCTGGCTCGAGTTCGTCAACACATTCAGTCAGCTGATTGCACAGGCTTCAGAGATAAAAGCTTGCAATAAGTGCAAAGCCGTTTCTTTCGTTAGGAGCAGAACCCGAAAATGGATGACAGTACGCAACGCAGCATTGCGAGTGTACAGAGAAGCTCCAACACCAGAAAGTTGGGACAATTACCTAGCCCAACGTAACCACTGCACTCAACCGTTAAGAGAAGACAAAGCCACCTATCAGCAGAGCATCGCAAAAAACTTCAGTGCTAACCACAAACTGCTGTACAAGCACGTTAATAGTCTACGAAAGGTGAGGCAAGGATTTCCTCCACTCAAGACGGCTGATGGCCCAACAAGAACATCTATGGAAGCTGCAAACGCACTGCAGATGCAATACGCCCCCACGTTTCAAGAGTCTTGCCACCAAGCGATCTACCAAGATTTGTATTCTGCTCACCAGGACTAACCCACATCAATTTTACCGCAGAGGCTGTATTGCAAAAGCTGACTTCTCTACGCAAACACAGCTCGCCGGTATCGACACCATTCGTCCAGAGGCATTGGGAGCAGCAGCAAACCAACTGGCAGGACCTTTAGCTCAGTTTTTCCAGCACTGCTTAGACCAGAACCAAGTTCCCGCCATGTGGAAGCTTGGAATAATAAGCCCGATTCACAAAGGTGGAAGCAGAACTGATCCCTCCAACTACCGCCCAGTATCCCTTCTTCCTATACTCTCCAAGGTCATGGAATCCATAGTTGCCGATGCACTGGTGTGCTATCTGGAAAACTGCAACCTCATCACTCCTGAACAGCATGGTTCCCGCCGACAACGGTCATGTACAACGAATTTACTAATTGCACGTAGTAGTTGGACCGAGGCAGCTGACGCTGGAGAAGGGGTCGATGTGATCTACCTGGATTTTTCCAAGTCTTTCGATCGTCTAGACCATCGGATACTACTATCCAAGCTGCAGCATTACGGGATCGGAGACCCTCTTTTAAGTTGGGTCGCCAACTTTCTACATCAAGGGCAATTAGTGGTCAGAGTTCGGAGCTCTTTATCGGACCCCATATAAGTGGAGTGTGGTGTGCCGCCAGGCTCGGTTCTAGGTCCACGTTTGTTTTTGGTGTTTATTAATGACCCTGCACAGGGAATCGCTTCGAACTTCCTAATGTTTGCCGACGATATCAAGATCTGGCGCAGGATCCAGGCGAACACCGACCAACATTTGCTTCAGAGTGATTTAGATACGGTGTATCAATGGTCGACCCAAAACTTATTGCATTTCAATGTAAGTAAATGCAAGGTGCTTTCCATCCGACATCAAAGCAGCTACCCATACCGACTCGGAACGGAGGTACTGCAACAATCAACTCTCGAACGTGACTTGGGTGTCCTGGTTCAAGATGACTTGGGTTGCTCCAGGCAATCCGAAAAGGCCTCGAAGACCGGGAACCAACACGTCGGGCTGTTGAGGCGGGCGTTTTGACAAATAAACAGCTCCATATTTCGACAAATGCTCAGTGCGTATGTTCGACCCCATGTCGAATACGCAATTCAAGCCTGACATCCATGGCTGAAACACGACCTTAATGCACTGGAGCAGCCACAACGCCGGGCATCTAAGAATGTAATTGGAATGCGCAATCTTTCCTACCAGGAGAAGCCATCGCAGACTACGAGGCGACCTGATTATGGCCTACTTGATTCTGCGAGACCCACATCATGTGCGCCGCCCTTTACTGCAACTCAGCAGCAATACAAACCTGAGGGGCCACTCATTAAAACTCGCAGAACAATACAGTCGTCTGAAGTACCGCAGAAATTGCTATTCCATTCGTGTCTGTCACCCGTGGAATGCTCTCCCAGAATCGGTCGTCTCTGCACCGACACTAACCGTATTTAAAAGACGGTTGGACGATGCACTCATCCACTTACACTTTGTTACTTAAGACTACGTCTCCATCCTACACCTGGAGTTCACCATGGAATTATTTGTTGTTAACTGTGGGTGCTGTGAATCTAAAAGGATCGCAGGACTACAGCGAAGCAAACGATAAGTCCTTATTTTCATATTTAAAGTATTAACTATTTTACTATCCTTATCATCATTATTGTTATGTTGATATCCCCTGCAACTATCAATCGGGACTTGTAAAGCAACGCTTCTTAACCCGTATAAATTCATTGTTCATTGTTCATTGTCAAAATGTTCCATTCTTCCTGCGGCATATTAGTTGAAGTGTGTTGCTCACCTTCAACTAGCATGCCACGATGAGTTATGACGCGATGAATCTTGCGTATCCGCAGATCTCCATGGTTTTGTGTTGGCTCTGTCTAGTTGATAGACTGTTGAGATTACATACATACATGGCTTCTATCAAGTCTACCGTGACCATATTTTTCAGAGCTTGCGACAACGCCTCTCGCTTAGCCAGAGGTACAGGGATAGGTTGATAGATGTTGAAAGATTTGTAATCCGCGTTCAACCCAATGCGGTGCGTTGCTTTTGGGACTCTACTAATATCAAGGACGAAAGAGATTTGTGCAACTGGAACGTAACGAATGTAGGTTGATACTGGCAATGGTCATCCGGTTGACGCATGGTGATACCTTTAATAAGACCAAGGCATTATGTCCCAAACGATGCTTACTATCAGTTTTAGAGACGTAAACTTCAATTATACGCTTCCTGTTGGTTATAAGAAACAAGGAAACCGAAACAAAACCGAGTATGTGGACATCACCATTGGAGTAGCTGCTGAAAGTGTAAGCGGAAGGATGTACACTTAGCTGACCAAAATGCTGTTTATAAAAAGAATATGGCACAACTGTGATTGGTGACGCGGAAACTAGTTCCATGTCTAGACAAATGATTTTGTTTCTAACTTCCAAAAAGACACGAAGCATATCTGCCGAAGGCAGTTTGGATTCTTGAGTTGGAGACGAACGTGGAAGTTCGCATTCATTAACGCCATATATGGATTGTTCGCTGGTGACCAGAGGATCTCTAGAGTCATTTGCAGAATCAACTAAAGAAATGGAGCCGGAACGACAAACCCGAGCAAAATGACCGGTCTTACCGCTATTCTGGCAGTTTTCACTCATTACAGGACATGACTTATCATTCGCACTATATTCAGCATTCCCACAACGGTAACATTTATTTCTAACTAAGGATCGCTTCAGAGTGTGCGCAGAATCCAAACGTTCAATTTCAATAGCTCCTGTGTTAAAAAGGCAAATTTTGTTTTGTTTCGTGACTGCGACCTTCGCGCGAGCCACGTCACAGGCCCTGTCCCATATGAACGTTCCTGCGTTCTCCATTAACAGACTCTCTGATCTGAGAATCCTTGAGACCAGAAATCAATGGTTGTATTAGCATGGTTTCTTCCACTTTTTTTCTTGGGAATACTATTGCAGTCACACTTTCGAACAGAACAAAAAAGGGAAATGAATGCATCCACTGATTCACCAGATGTTTGTTTCTGCTGCGGAAAATTGTACCGAGAAGTGTAGGTGTTTACTCCAACACCTTAATGTTTATCGAGGGCCGATAAGGCCGCTGTCAAGGTGGGTTTCTCCCGCAGGTTTAGAGAATTAAATATACGTCGACCCTGTGAACCGAGGTGCAAACGCAAAATCCATATTATATCCTCCGTTTTCAGCGCCACGTATGGATTGAGAACTGGTAGCACAGAAATATAATCTGAAAAACAAATTATCCAGTCCTCCCAGCATTCTGCATTTGGGGTAACCGCAGAGTCAGTTTATTAGTATTATTATTAGGTTTAGCCGGCTTACTTTCGTGAGACAACAAACCTTGCTAAGCTTTACTCGAAGGCTACCTCACGGATAGATGGATAACGAGGCAAGAGTGCGCAAGGGTTATGGGAGAAATTTGGTCAAAAGTTTGAAGGTGAGTTGTATTCAGTTTGAGCAATACGAAAGGAGTTCAACTAGCACAACCAAAATAACATACGTTGACCGTCGAGCACCCTATGATAACACACACATTTGAGATTATGTTGCCAACAGGCAAGTTACTACTCTGCAGCGCTTCAAAACAGTGCTCACGGTACACTTTTGCAACCACCCGACTGAATATTAACGCTGCTAACAAACAGTTTGGTTATTTGAGCTACCACGGAGCGTGACCCAATGAAACCTGATTTTACGTAACCCTTTCCCTCTACTGCTTTATCTGGGCTACTATATTTCGCAGTTCGTATTTTCAAGGGGCTACCCAAATTACACTTGTTTAAGTGTATCCACACTCCTCAAACTTACCTTCGTAGTTTCGACAGCCGCCGGCAGACGCGTATCGAATCCATTCGCCCTCCATTCTAGTCATCTCCCATCGCCGCATATTGGGATCTTGACGCAACGTATGCCAAAGTCCAAGCGATTCAGGCCCGAGGTGACAGAATTCCAGATGCGAAAAGTAGCGCAAAAAATCTTCCATAGACATCCTTTGGAGGTGTACACAACGTGGTAAAAGTGGTGATGGGGATAGGAACAAATATAGTAAATCTCGTATATTAAAAATCGAACTAGTGTTAACTACTGTTGGTCGCAAGTTGACAAACTAGAAGACTGGCTATAGTTATAAGTTGTGTTTTTGTCAGTTAAAATTACTATGAGTGGAATATGACTTTGTAGTCTTCTCTACACAATGCTCCACGACAATCTGTGTCCTTGTTCGGACAATTGAAACCTTGGCTGATGGAGCTAAACCCAAAGATAGGACGTCGTGGTTGCTCCAATGCGACGGCGATAAGCGTACAGTAACTGCGGAGGCTTACGTTGTTTTGCAGCTAGGTTATTGTTTTTGATGCTACTGCGACTACTGCCGTCACCACTGCTGCTGCTGCTGTCACAAGCTCTCTACTCTACTTCATTCGCTTACGCGGTTACACATGTCACAAACTACAGAGGCACAGCCCGAGAATACTGAAAATAACAGTGCAGTCCCAACTGGACCGAACTGGACCTTTCTGGCAGACCAGTCACCAGCTAGTGCATGGAAACATTTCGTCAGTCAGTTTAACTCTCTAGCTGCAGAAGCGTCAACGAGTAGGACCTTCCGGCCAAGAAATGTGGTCTCGCTTTTGCGTAGCAGGACACGCAAGTATATAGCGGTGCGAAACTCAGCCTGGCTTACCTACAAATTCTCTCCGAGCACCGAGAATTGGATGGCCTACGCGACCCAACGAAACCACTGTACTCAGATTGTTCGCGAGGATAGCATGCCTTACTAGCGGTAGTTGTCAGTGCTTATGGCCTCAAAACACAAGCTTCTGTATCAACCCGTCAACCGTTTACGTAAGTTAAAACGGGGAATTGCTCCTCTTCAAACAGCGGACATACCTACACGGACACCGAAGGAGGCTGCGAATACCATGCGCCTACAATATGCTGCACAATTTCAGTGCGATCACTGGCTACATCATCATCATCATCATCATTAGACATAAGCTGAAAGTAAGCACCAGACTTCAGCTCTTGCGCTGCGATGCATAACTATAAGACAACCGAAAAAGCGTGATGCTGAGGATTATAAAATGCTAAAAAACAAACGACCAACTACTTTGTCACATATTATGTGTCACGCGGAAAATCGAGGTTTGAGGGGGAAGATAAGTGTGATGGTGAGGGACAAAGAAACACAACACAAACGCCACTGAGGTCGGCTCCCTGCCATGTCAACTAGTGTATCCAACTAAACATGTTCATCGTCCTCCGGACTTCAACCAGGCAGTCGCGGACCACCAACAGACGACAACATCGAAGTGAAGGATTTCATTACTCTTGACCGAGTTATCACTTGGCCACCTTTTCTCTTCTCCCATCCAGACCAAACGTGTTCATCGTCCTGAGGACCCCAGCCAGACAGTCGGGATGCACCAGCCGACGCCAGCTCCGAAGTGAGGGTTTTCATTCCGCTCGATCGAGTCATAGCTTGGCCTCCCCTACTCCTCTTTTAACCGCACCCCCGGCGGGAAAACAATGCAGGTCGCGGGAGTCGGTGGGCTGCCATGTGTGACATCTGACCTAGCTATCGGAGCCTGGTGCGTGACCTAATGGTGCGTGCGCGGTTCACTCGCTCTTCCTCCACCAAATACACGACGTCGAACGCGCTCCTTGCTCAAGCGGTGCTCCCACGAGACATGAGCTAGGCTCCGAAGGCAGGGATGATCGAAAGTGAGTAGCCACTTTATGTCCGTTGACCTGATGGGCCAGGTTTTGCAACCATGCGGTAGCAATGAACGAATGGCTGCATTGTAAACTTGGCCCTTCAGGAAGAGAGTGATATCGCGCCGGCGCCACAGATGGTATGCGGTGTGTGATCTCATTCCGTTCCATAGCCGATGATATAGCTGCCTAGATACTTGAATTTCTCGACGACTTCTAGCTGATCCCCACCAAAGGTCAGCGCAGGGATGGGTCCCTGTCAAACCTGGAAACGGATTTTGCATCTCGTAGGTGCAAAGGGTAGCGCAAAACGACTGACAGCCAATGCTAATTCGTCCAGTGCCACGGCACGTTTGAAAGCTGTGCAGATAAGGGCAATGTCGTCAACGTACTCCAAGGAGCAGCTTAACGCCTTGAAGATCGTGTCCAGTGAATACAGTTTCCATGGTCTCGTCGATGGAAAGTTAAAAAGGAAAGGTTACAGCGGGCATTCTTGTCTCACACTGCCGGAGATATTTAAGAACGGCGACAGCTTGCCGCAAGCCCTCACTGCGCGAACGACACGCGTACAGCGCTCTCAAGACATTCACATATTTCTCGGGCACACGCTTCCTCAGTAGACAGTCCCAAAGGACACATCGAATCAACCAAGTCGAACACGTCTTTGATGTCTAGGAACTCCACATAACTAAATGGTTGTCGCATCCATAAAACTCACTCGCATATCCTTTAGGACAGAAGCTGTACTAAAAAAAATCTGTCACGTATGCGCAAGCACAGCTCTCTTAGAGTTGATAACATGTACCCGAATTCACTAGCGGCGATAGGAGAGAGTTTAGCTGAACCTTTGGCTCGATTCTTCCACCACCCATTTGATTAAGTGTATGTGCCCGACATGTGGAAACACGGGATCATTACCAATTCACAACGTAGGTTATCGTTCCGACCCATTCAATTACCGTCCCGTAATCTTACTACCGATACTTTCAAATTCATGAAAGCTGTTATTTTGGATGTGTTAATGACCTACTTGGAACCAGTTAACTATCTCGCACCGGAACAGCATGGCTTTAAACGAAATCGATCATGCATACCAAATCTGTTACTAGCACCATCCAGCTGGACTGACACAGTAGACTCTGGCACAGGATTTGATGTAGTTTTTCTCGACTTCTCAAACGCGTTAGACGAGTTAGACCATGACATTCTGCTCTTCAAAATATAGAACTTTAGTATTGTTGATCCCCTTATAAAATGGCTCAGAATATTTCTTCTACACCGGCGCCTGGAAGTACGTGCGCGTGGATCGCTGTCAGATCCCATCCAAGGTCAATGCGGAGTGCCACAGGGAGCGATACTAAGACCGCGGTTATTTCTGAGTATATTAACAATATCACACGCCTCATAAACACGAACTACCTGCTTCATGCCGAGGACATGAAGGTGTGAAGTGCGCTCAATACACCAGATAATATCACCGTACTTCAGGCCGAGCTGCATAAGGTATACGCGTGTTCAATTCAACATTTACTTCGATTCAATATGAACAAATGTAGAGTGCAGCACTTACAGCACAAGTCGATGTACTCCTACAAACTCGACAACCAGGAGCTTCCGACGTCTTCGTGCGAGAAGGATCTGGGAGTAGTGGTACAGGTTGAAGTTGGATTTTCGAATTAGGCTAAACGACTTCAAGAAGAGGCATGCAGCACATACGCCTCCTGAAAACGATATTCGGATGATGGGACCCTTTGATGCTTTCCCAGCTTCTCGGCTCATACCTACGGCCACATGTGAAATACGCAATACAGTTCTGGCAGCCATGGTTGAGGAGAGGTCTTACAGTCTTGGCGACGCCCCAATGTTGGGCAACCAAGCATGTCAGGGGTTTGTACAATCTGCCTTTTGAACAAAAGGCTTCAAGTGCTCGGGGTCTTCAGCGGACAGTATCGACGATTGCGCGGGGACTACATTTTAATGTACCAGATTTTGAGGGATTCCAACCACACGTGTTCCTACTTGCTAGAGCTCAGTCAACAGTAATTTAAGTGGCCAACATCTCAAGCTGGCAGAGTAGTAAAGTCGTTTGGAAGGTCTTCGGAATTTCTTTTCCGTACGCGTTTGCAGAACATGGAATGTCCTAAAGGAATCTGTCATATGTCGCGTGGCGGAGCTGTACGCTATCAGCTGCGTCCCCAGGTTGCGGATCGGGGAATGCCTTCCTTGTGGAGGTGACTGCGAATAAGTCTCGTTTGCATTGCAGGCGAGATGACTAAGTAGTCGCGGACAATCAGCGGCAGCGTCTCAGAACGTGAAGAGTTCTGGGCTGGTCACCTGATTCTCCATCAAATACCACAATAGCTCGTACGGCGCTGTGTCAAAGCCAATGTGACCTGCTATAGGGTCACTGACCACTCACTTCTGTAACCAGAAGTGTGTACCTAACGGAGGGCGGATGAACAACCTTGTTGGTCACCGGCTTCTCTGTGGACTGCTACTTGTACACAAAGAAGGCGAATGAGCTACCCGGATGTCAACGGTCTCCGTTAATCGTCCCGCTGCCTTGCGGGTTAGGTGTTTATGACCAAAGGCTCCGAGTGGAGTCCCTTAAGTTCACCCTCTTCCTCGGCCTGGGCAACCGGGAAGATCTCTGCCCGCACAACACATTAACCTTGTAAATCTTTCAAAACTTTCCACTAGACAGTGCTCCTTGTTGTGGTTGTTGTTGTTGTTGCTGTTGTTGTTGTTAACTATGTGTTGTGGCCCTGTCAATGGTATATTGGTCAGGAGTTGAATAATATAATTGAATAATAATAATCTGTCATATAAGCTGCCACGCTGATAGAGTTCAAAAAACGTTGGCCGTGTATTTAGTTCGTTACACCACCTTAGATAACTCATTACCCATGAATGAACACAAGCGTCTGTAAGAGATTTCACTGGCGGTCAAACCCCACATTTTGTCCCCTTTTTTCACCTGTATGTATACACCACGAGGAGATATGATTTTTACCAACAGTCCATATGCCGTCATTCCTTATGGATGTAACTTGGATTTACAGCTTATACTACCTAGAACTCAGTAAGTGCACTGGTGTAAACCCAATTTTAAGAACAATTTTTCTACATTTTGAAGTTTCACTATGACGAACCTACGGGACATGTTAAGCTTAAGCTTTTTTACCCATCTAAAACCATTGTTCCACTGTTTATTTTTCCTAGTGAGCGTGAATATGTAGTCTTCACAAAAATCATTGCCGTGGTTCACGGTATTTCT